ACATAAGCATTTTTTTTTATAATTTCACAATTTTTCGTATCGGAAGTTTTCATAGTAGTTCTGTGTGCTTTGTAAATCTTCAGTTGATGGTAAATCTTCAGCTTGTGGGTTTATTGAAAAATTAGGCTGTTCTGGCCATGTTGATGAAGCATTCGTTTGAAAACAAATCATCCTCATCAGCTATTCAGACAATAGCTTTACGAATTTCACTTTTTAGCTTTCTTTTTAAAACGTCCGATCGCAAACTACGTAGCTCTTGGGCAACATATTCACCAAAAACGTCATATTCGTCTGGTTCTTTCTTCAAAACTTTCAATGCAGCTTCAAAAGCATTCTCTTCATGTTCAGTCTCATACTTTCTTTTGGAATATCTATTCGATTTTTTCCTAATATCTTTATCTTATTTTGTTTTCAATTCGCTTTCTTTTGACTCACCAGATGCGTTGATATTTTCGCTTTCCGATATTTCAAGAATCTCCTCTGCGGATTTATCTAAAGAAATTATCTCATAAAAATTAAAAGTACTATTGTTTTTAAATGGATAAACCTAATGCTACTAAGAAATTTGTTTCTACTTTTTATTTCATATTTCGCTTAAATAAAACAAAAAAGTTAATAACTTTCTTTCAATTTCTTAATGTAGAAAGAGGCACTGTGAGAATAAAATTATAATTATTTCGGTTTCCTGAAACTATTGAGGGGTGGTTAAAAATAGCTGAAGAGTTTGAGAGTCGCTGGAATTTCCCTCATTGCATTGGCAGTTTAGATGGAAAACACATTACAATCCAAGCACCGAAAAATGCTGGAAGCCACTACTACAATTACAAAGGGGCTCATAGCATTGTTTTGATGGCGATTGTCGATGCAAACTACAAATTTATATATATTGATGTTGGATGTAACGGACGAATTTCTGACGGTGGCGTATTTTCTAACTGTTTACTATATAATGGGTTAACGCAAAATACTATCCGTTTGCCTGACTCAAGACCTCTCCCTGGCAGAGATATGTCAGTTCCTTACTGTTTTGTAGCTGACGATGCCTTTGCCATGAAGACCTATATTTTAAACCTTATCTCTTTCGTGATCAACCAGCGCCAAATCGCATTTTTAATTACCGTCTATCTAGAGCACGTAGGATAGTAGAAAATGCTTTTGGAATCATATCAAACAAATTTCGAGTTCTTAGAAAACCTATGCTCCTTAATCCCGATCGAGCAAGAGACGTAGTAATGGTGATCTGTGCTCTTCACAATTTTTTATTATCGAAAAACAATTCTAACTATCTAAACAAAGGACTGATCGATATAGAAGATCAAAAAAATCACGAAATAATACAAGGCAATTGGCGTAGTGAAACTCAATATGAGAATACATTTTTTCAATTAGAAAGAGGAACAAGGCACAACTACAGCGTTTCACAAAGGGATGTGAGAGATGAATTCAAAAATTATTTTATAACTACTAGAGGTAAAGTCTTATGGCAATACAGACATATTACATTTTAAATGTACAAGTTTGAAATAAATAAGATTCAATAAATTGTTTATCAAATTTGAGTGCGTGGAAGAACCAGATAAAAATCGAATTAAAAATTTCAATCCGCGCGTTGAAATATGGCCATTTAGTACAGTATATCTCGTCAGTCCCACTTCCACTTTTGGTTTCTTTAATTTTCTTTAATTCTTTCGACACCTAAAAGCATCATACAAAAGTTGTGAGTGTACCACTTGTCTATACGACTGTTATTCAAATATTTCTGTGTACCATAAAACAATGCCATGCTATAGTGCGATACCATTATTTAATTTTCAGTTTGCGACATATCTTGATGTTAGATTTTTGTATGTAAGTATTTAATAATTTTTTTTTAAATGTGCTAAATTCGCGACGACTAAATGTATTTAATTTTAGCAATGTAAACTAAGGTGTAATTAAAACGTGTGAACAATGTAAAACTAATGTGTAATTAATTATTGACTAAGTAATTGAAGAATGTAATAAAAATATCCTTATCTGATTCCTTAAATTGTGAATTTTTCTTTGCACTTCATTCGCAGAACATGCAAATTTTTTCACCAAGATCTTTTAGGATTATGTTTTTTTTATTTCTGTCACGGTAGTCATGAAGTTTTGTATTCCACAATAGTTCATAACTTTCGTATTGTTCAATAAGTTCCTTTGTTTCGTCAGAGGACCAAATTTTTGCCATCTTGATTTTTACTCTCAACACGTCGCTCTCAAAATACGAACAACGTTCGAATTTAACGAGCTGATCTCCGAGAGTAAAACAACGTCGTGTCGATTTGCAAGCAGGTCTCGACAAGTTCGCTCGCCGAGAGCTGCGAGTCATTCTCCATTAGATACTCTCAAGGGTATGTCCATTTGCGAGAATCACTTTCGAGAGCTACTCTCGAGAGTTTTACTCGCAGGTGGACACGCACCTTTAGAATCAATGCGCGTTAGTTATGCGGCGCTTTATAATAAATGCGCGTTCGTCGGCGTTAGTCGGCGCGCTATATTAGATGTATCGAAATTTATATTGTACGTATCGGCGTACTGCGAGGCCGTGTTTGTGTAACGGCGCGCTAGACGCGCAAGAAACAGGGCGTCGGCTGGTCGGCGCGTGTATGGCAAGGCCGTGTTTATTTTGATGGCTCGGAATATAATGTTCGGTATACGACGCGACAGGTATTTCGGCGCGGCGATAAATTTATGCAGACGGCAGAGCCGTGGATTCTGGATGCGTCGGTGTTAGATGCGTTTTAATCGCGTATTCCCAGATATTCGGGGAAGCGGTCGGAAATCGAGTATTTTCGATCGGGTGGAGAACTCTCTGCCCCTATTCCGCACGCGGACTTGAGAATAGCTGGTTGGAGTCGAGAAACCTCGACGGGGCAGCGAACTCGCAAACCCACGGTCCGTTTGGCTGGAGCGGTCGGATGGTAAACCGGCGATATAGGAGAGCGGCGAACACTCCGCTCTCGTCGAGTTGGTCGGAAGTTGGCGAGGATTCGCAGGCGGCGAGGAAACCGAGAATGCTCGGCGGAGGCTGCAAACTCGTCAATCTCACGTTTCGTTGTGTTCTGAGAATTGTCTAAGGATCGGATCTAGCGGAGTATCTCGAGCATACTGCTCGAGAGGCTTCAGGTACCGGTCTGGTGCCGAGATGGATTTTGGCGGCCTGTATATACCGAGAATCTAACGGTAACCGCGTCGTTTATTCTGGTGGGCGTAACGACGCGTTGTTTTCGGATTCGGTAATTAGCGGTTAACGCGCCGCTACCCTGCGGCGGGAAAACGACGCGGCGTTTCGGCGGTTTGAGCGCTCAGTGTTTCCCGGAGGCGCTCAGTGGTTCTCGGTGTTCGGGCCGTAACGGCTGTACGATATCTCCGATATCTCGTGTTCGGTATTGACAAGTATTAAAAAAGGCGCTAAGCGCCTCTGCCCCTGCCCGGCCGATGTTCGCCGGGCGGCAGACTTCCGGCGGTCAACTGTCGGGTAACGATGGGGGTTGCATCGTTACATATATTTATATATCTCTTACTCACAGATAGTGTAAGATATCATGTTCTTCTCTCTAGTACAAGTTCCAATCATTATTAGTCAGTTTTATAGGATTCAATTTTTGCCAGAATTGTCTACTTTTAATTTCAAACATAATTGAGAAATAATTATTTTGGATGTGGTAAGCTAGTAATAAATTTTTCTTCCTGTTTTCTGGATTTATTTTCTCTTAAATCTTGAATATGTATAAAAGCATAATCATACATATATTGATGCCATATATTGATATGTATATAAGCATAACTGTATCACCAGGGCCGCGTTCGAGAACATCACCCGTGTGTACACGAGCGTCGTTCTATCTTTGTTCAACTTTCAGTAAATAACAAAGATAGAACGACGCTCGGTGCACACGGGGGATGTTCACGAACGCAGCCCAGCACTGCATAGGTAGAACAAATTAAACCGAATATAAAAATTCTCTTGCATTGCGCAATTTTTGCAATAATTTCTGTGCGATGAAACATACTGAGATTAATAATCCAGCAATCAATAATTAGTTAAAAATCAATAAAGTTTAATTATGTATCGCGTCTAGCAACCACGTAACAGTGGAATATTCTTTCTCGCCGCGTACTAATACTCGCACGAATTAGCCGATTTTTTAAAATTAATTTCTCATTAATTATGGCAAAAATCGCAAAATGGTAGAAAATTTTCCTACTCGGTCTAACCCGCTGTTTACGGTGATACAGTTATTATCGGACACACTGCATGCTCATATATATAAAAATATATAGATTTAACTTTTATTGTGTCAAATACTTTTAAGTACTCACATTTTTACAAATTTTATATTTTTTCTTTAATAAAAAAAATATTTAATAATTTAATATTGATATATTAAATTATTATTTAAACTATATTTTTGGAAAAATTATATAATTAAATATTTTTAACAGAGCTATTGATTTTAGAAACCTTCGTTAATAAATGATGCTATTTTGTCCATCATAGTGATATGAGTACCTTGTACGTAATGAATTTGCACTGCACTTTCAGTAACCTAAAAGTAATTTCTCTTGTAAAAATATCTTAAAAATGATAAAATGTGTTACACTTTAATCAAAAATGTACCTTATGTAAACCATAATCCTCTTCAGGAAAAGTGATTGGCGTAAGTGTGGGTTTTAACAGTATTATAGATGATTTTAAAGGTGGCAATAAAGATATATCATAATCTTGTACAGCGATTATATGATTGTAAATCGTTGTACATAAGAATTTTTGATTTTCAACACTTAATATATTGATCTTCTCCGAAAAGTGAGCAGTAAATAGTTCTAATTTTTCCTCCCATGTACTGCACTTATTCAGCTCTAACGCAGTCTGTAAATAATGTAAATATTGTATTTTAAGTAAATAATAATAAAATGGTAATTTACATTTAAAATTGAGACAATAATATGAAAGTTTTTACTGTATTTTCACATTTCGGATATACTACATATCTGTATTCTTATTACTTAACTACTTTTTCTGTATTTTTGAACTACGTAAGACAAATTATTTTGTCTTTTAATTATTAGCAATAATTTGTAATCAAGGATTACTGTTTTAATTTGATACCCATTTTACACATATGCTCAAATAATAAACACTATATATCAATCATTGTAAATATTATATAATTCTTATATACTATCATTATTATTATTTTTTCTTATTCAATGAAAACCATTTAAACGAGTCTTTCAAAACTTCTGTAATCTGTATTATATATAAATAAGACGGTAAAAGATATTTTATCATATAAAAGTGCATATAAGACTTTCAGAACCATATTTAAATATTTTAATAAATAATTTTCTATACTCTTTCATATATATTAACTGTATATGAACACAATTACGTGAACCATTTTTGTAATAAAAAATCATAATGTGGTTTTAATAATTGACTAACCATTTCATTGTCGGATTCGAGATATATTTTCATGAAATGAAGTAGAATGTAATTTTGTAGTTCTTGTTGTGAAGTATAATTATAAAATTTAATCAAAAATTTCATCCAATCAGGAGCTCCATCTATAAGTAATAACCGTCCAACGAAATTCTTAGCTTCTAATAATCTTGCTAACTCAATAGCAATTAAGGATCCAAATGAATAACCCACTATTACAAATTCTTTTTGATCTTCCATTTTCTCTATTATGTACTAAAAAAATAAACATAAGCATATATAACATAGCATGTAAAGAAAACGTGAGAGCGTGTGTATAATGAAATATTGTTTAAATACACAGCAATTTAAGTAACGATTTTAAATAGATTATCTTATAATTTCATACAGGCAGAAGATATGCTGCTGATTTCATTATTGAACGAGTAACATCCGGCATATTAAGTGCACCGTGTTGCAAACATATCGCCAAAGATTTAATTTCCGATTCTATCAATTTATACACGCTTGCAGATCCGTCGAGTCCTGGTATAAGGAATATTATGTTTCCAACAACTTCCCTTTTTGTATCGAGTTCTATATAAATATCGGGACTCAAATCAGAATCCTTAAGTTTTCGTGTCAATATTTTGAAACCGTCCAAATTATCTGTTGTAGCTTCAATAGCATCGTACGTCTTTTCTTGCTCGATTTCATTTGTCATTTTTCTAAGTGCAGCAAAATTGAGATTTCGAATATCTTGTTCTGTCAATAAAATATCAAATTCTCTCTCCAATGTCTGTTTAATTTCTACCGCCATCATTGAATCCATGCCTAGCTCAGCCAGTAATACGTTTGGCGCCACTATGTTTGGATTTTTCAATCCTATTTTAAAAATTAAATATTTTGATGTAATTTTAATCAAACATTATTTCATCTTAATAACTATTGAACCTTACATTTCATGTAATATCTTTAATGCACTTTGTTATATCAATATAATATACTCTTAATAACATTATTAAATAAAAATTTACTTTGTATAAATGTTTTGTCACAAATTTTTTATATTACAGTTGTTTATAAACTCACCCATAATATTTGCAACCGCTTCAAGTGGATTCACTAAAGGTCGGCGCTGATTGGTCAGACTTTACTCAATAATAACTTTTTTTAAGCGTTATAAAAAAAATGGCTCGGGACTTTTCGTCTCAGTTTTTGGTAAGGAATAACGCTATGTACTTGGTGGGCGGTCATTGCGGGTCACCCTGTATATATATACAGGGTGTTCCCGTGTTAAATGGCCAAACTTAAAATATGTATTTAGGACCTTAAAACAAGAAAAAATTTTCCGCTGGAAATATGCTCGCAAACGTTTCGTTCAAAAGATATTGACTTCTGAAGTTATGAACTATAGGAACGAATAATTTCGAAATAATCTAGGTTAATTCTATTTATTGCTGTACAATAATCAAAATTTAATAATTAAATGTTTTGTTCAAAATGATGGCCTTCAGGTCGGAGACAAGCATTGCACTTATCGATGACAGAATGAGTGGCTGATTCCACGAAAGCATTCAACGAACTAACAATTATTTGGTACGAATGTATGGAGCTTTGTTTACAGTGCAAACACAAGCCTGTCAATGACCTTCGATTTTTAAAACAAAAATAAAAAGAAACATTTCGAAATTATTCGTTTCTATAGTTCATAACTTCAGAAGTCAAATCTCTTGAACGAAGCGTTTGCGAGCATACTTCCAGAAGAAAATTTTTTCTTGTATTAAGGTCTTAAATTCATATTTCAAGTTTGGCCATTTAACCTGGGAACACCCTGTATATATCAACAGAAAACGAGGACAGCTTTATTTATATGTAATATTAAAGATAACACGAAAAGAAGAAAAACTGTGTGCTTGTTTTTGAAAATTTAGTATTTCTATTCTAGTTACTCTTTATTGTATACTAAAAAATGATCATACCTTTCCAATATGCTTTCCAGCAGCCATATATCTAAACGCAGCTTCTATTTCATCCCTTTCAAAAACTTTTCTACATAACGGTTTGATAGCCCTTTCCTTTAAACCTTTTATTATTTTATTTGATAATATTATCTTACTCTCTGGTCTGGCACGAAATAATTTATCCAATATTATACCATGAAAACTAATGCCTTTTGAGAATGCAGATATTTCTAAAGAATTATTGGAAATCATATCAAATTTTCCAATTTCGAGAAAGCGACCACCTTTTGCTAAGCAACGGATGGATGCTTGCAGTTTTTCTTCAGCTAAAGAATTCAATACGATATCTACTCCGCGACCTTCCGTCTTCTAGATAATTATTTGTTCAAAACTTGTATCTCGAGATTTTCCGATATGATCCTCAGGAATAGAGGGAAATGTTTCTTTTATAAAATGTTGTTTCTCGGTACTTCCAACCGTTGTAAACACTTCGCAACCTTCGTAAAGTGCAAGGTGAATTGCTGCTTGACCAACGCCTCCCGTACCAGAATGAATTAACACTTTGTCGCCTTTCTTCATTTTACCTCTCAAATACAAAGCATAATAGCATGTGCTATATACGCAAGGAACCGTCGCGGCGTCTTCCATCGTCCACTCGTCAGGTATGATCCAACTGAGATATTTATCAGCTACGCAAATATTTGCAAATCCCCTAAAAATAGTGATTTATATTATAATATTTATTATATTAAAGTTATATTTTAAAAAGTTTTTTATTTTCAATGATATTCTGTATATAGAAATGAAACATGCAAAATATAATAATTTTTCATTTTTTTTATTTCATCGAAAGCTTCTTTAATATAAATATAAAAAATTATTTTAAATAGCTTATTTACTAAAAATATATTAATTGAGACTTTGTATATGTGCGTATCACTATCTTACCCATTTGAACACAGTCCCATTACTCTTTGTCCATTTTTATTAAAACCAACAAATTCCATTCCGATTAAAGAGCTGTTCTTTTGTTCCAACAATTCGAGGGAAGTTAACATGAGTCTACCGCTAGCTACCATGACATCTCTAAAATTGATAGAAGCATAGACTATTCTTATCAGATTTTCTTTATCATTCTTGACCAAAGATATTCTGCTTTGCACCCAACAAAGAGTGCTAAGATCACCACGCATCTAAAATAAATAAATAGACCGAATTATTTTAATCTTATTAAAATTACAGTAAATCATTACTTAATTTATAAATAAAAGTATTACAAAGCATTATTAATTTTTCGTAAATACCGAATCTTCTTAACATACCATTTGAGAAACATAAGCACTCTGTACGAGTTTCGGTTGTAATAATGGTAATGGAAAATGCCTGTAAGAACCCCAAATGCTACCAGAACGTATAACATTGATGGGTAAATCCAGCTGTAGTTGCCTCATGTACAACGATTCTTGCAATGAAAAAATAGGCGCATCTTTATCTTGAATAAATACACCTCTAATCATTTTACCACCCGGTTCTTTTCGCAAACAATTTACAAGGCCGATTAGTCCGCATTCGAAGTCCCCTTCTGCGACGATTATAATCCTCGTAGTTTCATTTTCTACGTTCATGAATGATTTAAGTCTGTCTATCCATGAGAATTCATAATTGTTTATAAGCACAATCTGCTCACTCCTCTTAATATCGTGTATTTTTCTTAATAATATAATTGTCTTATCGTTGGTGCGTTTCTCCAAAATTACTTTTAACCCATACTTATCCAGACATGAGTAGTCGTAGATAGCATCCAACTCTTCGAATGTTAGAAGAAATCCCTTTGACATTATGACAGATAATAATTGTTCATATAGATCGTTTTTATTTTTTGTTAAAATTCCGAAACCTATAGTCATCAAACAATTTTCATTTTTTGTCAGTTTATCAAATTTTATTGTAGAAATATTGTCAGGCAAGGCGATATCTTTGAACAGCTCGTGTGTTGCTACCAGTTTGATATCGGATTGAATTTGCGGTAAATCATCTAGTACTTTATTCACAAATAAACAATTTAAATTTTCCGGCATCACTTGATCGCTATCCTCCACAAATTCGATGATTTTTACGTTTACCATATTGTAACACTCGAGCGCAATATGCACCGACATTCTTGTTATGTCCTCTAAAGACATTACATCTAGATCCCGATGAGCAACAAACTTGTACTCTTCAAGAACGGGATGGATTGATCTTTGTTGGCGAGATATAGATGTAGCCACGACGCCGCTTACTTCAATTCCTCCGGATATTAAAGCATCTAAATGCTTATAATTTTGTACAAGGACTTCTGCAATATGACACAATAGCGCAATTTTATACATATATTTTCCGAAAAATAATTTTGGGCTAAATATTGTGCTTATTTATATTATTGTAAACATACGTTTTTCTTCATTTGGAAGCTTCTCAATTTCTTCTATATGAGATTCTGGGTCGATTACTATTTTACGAATTCTTGTTGGTACGAAGAGACTTCTCGAATCCAGTCCTAAAATCATCATCTGTAACATGTTGTCAATAAATGTTGCCCAGTTCTCAGTCCAGACAATATGACCATTCTTTCCCCTAATTGACGCGCTTTTTAATCCACGAAATTCACCAGTATATTGATAACCACGAAGCTTCAATTCTTTATAGATATCTTTCGTATTCATCTCCTCTTCATCATTGTCAGTTCGATCAATAAATGTAATACATATTTTCTCGTCTTCAATTTTAATTGGAATTCGTACTGTTCCAGTAACGACAGCATTGCTTCCTTCGATTATCTCGAATTTGCCACTACCTGTAAGAATATCGATATCAATTTCTTGTAAATGCAGTTAGTGCTAATACTGTATTTCCTGCTCAAATCTGCGGTCACACTATTGACAAATTGCTCTAATGATTCATTTATTGGATACAAATCTTTTCTCAATTTATATTTTATATAGTCTTATCTTTCATTTGTATTTTATGCACAAATTTTAATTTTTTTGTATATCTGATTTGCAAGATTAATTTAATTGTACAAGTTACCTTTTTGTATCATAAGAGTTAAATCGACTGAGTTTTGTTTTGATAATATTGTAGAGCGTAGAAAATTGACATCTTCAAATATAATTGGTATATCCAGATAATGTTGTTTCTTTAACCAACCAATCATCTTCCATATAAGCAAAAAATATCCTGTAGCCGGTAACAAATTTTTTCCATTAATAACATGTCCAGTCATATATATATATTCTTCCTCTAACACATTAATAGTAACAATTACTTCTTCTTTGTCAATTGTTCTTTGTCCGATATAACGGTACGTATACCAATCTTTGGAATGATCCCACCTACAATAAATATCATTAATTAAACAATATATAAAATATTAGTTCGCGTTTCTTTTACCGTCGTTAAAAATAATACAATTTAATTTTCTGCTTTTTAAAATTTCACTATTTTTCTATAGCGAATATGACTGAAAAATCTTATGTTACATTAAGTAGAATTTACCTTATAAGGTGAGAAATCATCGGTGTTCCACGACTTACAGGAAACTTAACTTCCGGATATAAATTTGCGATTTGCAGCTGTAATCCTGCATTATATAGTTTTCCAATTCCGTGTAAAAATAATTCAATATTTGGTTCGTGAGAGAATTTGTATAAAGCGACATTTGTCACTGTGGTCTCTAAAGAATCATTAAGAATGTATTGTAGAATATCGTGCGGCGCTATCTCAATCGTCACTGCGTCGTTTGGAATAAAGCGTAGAGTTTCTGAAAATAATACCGGGGCTAGCAAATAATTTGCATAATATTCTGCTAGATTTGACTTTGGAGATGCACTGAACCATTCATAAGACTCATTCGGTACACTCAACCACTTTGAGCTTGGAGACACTTGTTGTGGCAATATTTGATTCAAATATTCCAAAAGTTTAACTCTTGCGGGCTCGACGTAACGACTATGAAGAGGTATATGTCCAAAGGAAATTTCTTTTACAGGAATATTGTTATTCTGAATAAGAATAAACTTTATCATTTATTTACAATTAAACATATAATTATAAGCATATATATAT